CACAGAGGTGCATAAGTCATCACACCACGTTAAGGTGCAGTCTCGTCGTGGGTAGAAAACTGACAGCCATGATCCTGAGACTTGAAATGTCGGACCAAGTAAGGTCTCAAATCAGGCGTGGTCATGAGACGAGCGACAGCAGATTCTTTATACCTCGACCTTTGAATTTTTCATGTAAAATCGATTCGATTGATGAGCAATGAGGTATTTCATGGAGAGATGAGGCCCAATCCTGAAAAGCTTCGATCTCTTCGGGAGCTTGGCAGCGGTTAGCGAAGTTCGCTCCACTGTATCTCGCTGTACGGTGATGATGATGATGATGATATTCGAGAGTTTCCTCCGCCAAAAGGTGTCAAATCTCAACGACGCATCGTGCCACTGTTTTCGTACTATTCTGAATGGATACCACGTTTCTCAGACAAAATCTGTCCACTCGTGAGTAGCAAGTCATTTCCCCTCCGGATGAACATGAAACTATCCTTCGAATGTGTCAATAGAGAGTCAGAATGTGCCGTTGTGACCACTATCGGTCCGAAGATCCCTCTTGTGGTTTAAACGGACATTTCAGATATCGCTATCTCTGCTACCCTTTCTCAGATCTTCCGACCCGTGGCGTTTTTTCTCGAATTTTCTGGCTCTATGAAAGACGCCGTTCTTCTGTTGAAAAAGAAAGTGCAATCGTAGAAGCCATTCGGGAACGGAGACATTTCCTCCTTGGTTCGCATTTTGAACANCAGATCAAAAGTCCGTGGTCGTCATGCTTGCTCCAATACATCAAGGAGAAGTTAAAAAATGACAAAATTCAAGGATGGAGGTTTAAATTATCCTTTTACAGCTTTGATTTCATTTATCGCGTAGGCTCACAGAATGTCGCAGCCGATGCGCTCTCTTGCTCGGCTGCTGCTTCATACGTGCCACTAAAGGAATTGTTCTACTCCCTATGCCATTTTTTGAGACCAAAGAACCTCCCACACTCAATCGATGAAGTTAAATCCGTCTATAACAATCGCACTATTTGTACTGAACTTAATCCACGATTTAGCTCGTTACCCAATGTTCATCCAAGCTGCATCCACATTTGAACCGCTTAATATTGACTTTGAGAGTCCACTTCCTCGATGTCCAAATATCTATACCTACTAACTGTTATCAACGAATATTCTTGAGTTTCATTCATCTTTTTATGCGCTGAATTAACGTCGTCTACAATTATCCGGTACCTCACCCATTTATTCTCCATTTTCGGCTTACCATATTACGTATATTTCGACCGGGGTTGGTCTTTCATGTCAGGCGAATTAGACTCCCTCAATACAAAGGGTTAGTCACAAATAGAATGACCGCCTACAATCCACAGTCGAATGATCAAAGGGAGAGACTGAACGGGACACCGTGGCAATCCATCATGCCAGCAATCAAGTCACGAGGTCTAAGTACCAGCCAAGGGGACTACGTGCTACCGAATGCCCTTCACTTCATTCGCTGCCTTTTATGTATGGTTATGAATGCGACTCTTCATGAAAAATGCCTTCATACAGCCATAAATCGACCACCGGGGTGCCACAACCCACTTTTTTGAATTACCTGAGACTGATTTTGATGCGCCGTCTGATTAGATCCGTCGGTTGACGAAGTCGAACTTATCGAGTGTAATCCTAAATATGCCTACATCCGTCCATCAGACGGCTGAGAACAAACGGTTTCGCTTCATTATCTTGCTCCAAGGGGCCAAGACCTTTCTGAAACAATATCGGAAACCAGTTGTGATGCATCAGAAGGACCCTCGCTAACTAACGATCACCCCACAGTAACATACCAACAAACTGGGTGCTATCCACCATCTACAAAAGCTCCCCCTAAATCCAATCTACATCACCTGCGAAACATTTCCCCGAATAGTCTAATGCACATTCTTTATTGAAAAACAACAGCGGGTTCATTCTTCTAACGTCAGATCCAGAGAGATGTGAAGACGTTTATTTTGAATGTTGAACCCAAAAAGTGGGTAGAGTTTCATGTAGAATTGTTTGCATCTGTTTTTTAACCCTTTGAAGTCAGTTTTCTATTGTGTACCTGTTTTCCTCTTTTCGGCCCTTTTTCAAGTTGTTTGCCAAATAAAGCCTGAAACCTGGGCTTCCGGTCTCCTGCATAGTTGTGATCGATTGATTGTGTAAGCATTCATTACAGACTTTTAAAATGGACCAGCAAACCCAATTCCAGCCTGACCGTGGGTGTATTAATCAAATCTTTACATTGCCTGGGCGGTTGTGGTCGAGTGGTAAGGTTGTCAAAATAACCATCTGGGGCCCCTGAGTTCGAACCCCTCCAGCACCGCCCATCTTCCCTTCACTTGTATTTCCCCATACAGCTTTTGTATGGCCGCGGACCCCTTCTTTAAATTTTATTGTACATCTCTATGATCACGGAATAAAAAGGAACTAAGGACATTTATTATTATTATTATTGTTACTATTAGGTCCTCGAACAATGCTACACGCATCTTCGATCAACGATCGCAGTGTTCCTTGACCCCGAAAGAGCCTTCGACTCACTTGACTGCAAAGTCCCGGTGGGTTCGCTTCTTCGAAAAAAAGTGATGCAAAGTATGTAAAGCTGCTTAGGTCATTGTACCCGCATACTTCGTTAAGAGTAAGGGTCTACGGTGAGCTAAGCAAATCGTTCGAAACCAACAGCGGTGTTCGTCAGTAGTCCCCTATTTGGCCATTCCTGTTCAATTTCGTAGACGGAATACTAAAGAACGCAATAAGTGGTCTTCAAAATTTTGCTATCGAATGGGCTACAGGCGAAAATAATGTGAGATTTGGATTACGCTGGTGACATCGTTTATCTGCTAGAATGCATGGAGGACGCGCAAAGTGCACTTTACAGACCGATAAGTTCTGCTACTTTGTTCGGCATGTGCTTTTTACCTTCAAAGTGCATGGTGGTGCTGCAAGGGTGTCGACTAATCTCGTTTTGAAACTAGATGGTCAGGAATCGGCTGAAATCGANAATCGATTGCTTCTGGTACTTAGGTAGCTAAGTAACCCATGATTGTAGCACCCATTTCCCAGCGACGAGCATCGTACGTAGAACTCAAACATCCTGGACGTAGGCGTAACGTCTCACTCAAGTTGAGAGGTCGTACATATTATGCCACCGTTCGTTCAGTTTTGCTTTATTGTTGTGATACCTTGAATCTCTGAGTAGGAGACCTTCACCGTATTGAAGTTTTAGACGATTGATGGCCCAGGTGTAATGACATGCGCGTGTTAGCAACCTAGCCAGCGTATGTTGGGTAATTTATCGGTATAAATTTGCTAGCACATCAAAATCATAATAGGCTTCAGTGGTTAGGATGCTTTTTTGCATGTGTCTAACGGTCGCGTACTACATCGTGCCTTATTTGCTGTTACCCCTTCGTGCTGGAGAAAATCACCTGTAAGTCAACAGGTGACGTGGAGACGAGTCATGAAGTGTGTGGCGATTAGTTAGAATAGGTGTTTCCGGTCTTCCTGGTTGATGTCCAAAAGACTCTATTTCCTCTTTGTTTTGATCCATGAAATGTCCTTCGTTTGATTCCGCCGGTTCGCTTTATTTTATAATATTTTCAATGCATCGAAGACTGTGTTCTGGGAATGATGACTTTCCACCCATGTTGAGTTTGAGACCAACAAACAACGAGGGAACGAGATTGCTTTCATCGGTAGCCTGTATTTTATCTGCCACGAAATACGGGTTTAGAACTGTAATATATATGCTTCGATCCTTGGCATTTCTCATAGAAATTTGTTGGCTTATAATTACCACATCTGATAATGTATATATTCAACATGTAACCAATTACATGGCGTTAGCAAATGTGCCATAATGTATGAAGAAAAAGTCTGTAGAATGCGTTTGTAGTTTGTGGTCATGTCACTTCCCGGTTTCCCTGATCGAAGAAGGGGGATAACCTGGGAGTTCGAAGTCTTTAGCCAGAAAGCCAGACCTGCAAGACAGCAGGACTGAGTCCGCAGTCCATTGGGGGCCGATGCTTAGTTCATCGGATCATACGCCCGTCGGATGGGGCTAAACATCCAAGATGCCCAATACGCCATGCCAGATTAAGCCGGTGGCCACTGCTACAACCGGGAGGGTGTGTGCGTGGTTAGTATGCCTCTTCTTGGTTGGTTTGGATTCAGGGTTTTTATCCAACTCCCGTATGTGAACTGCTGGTGGCGGACCAACCCAGTTATAGCCACGGATGTTGGCACTTCGTCCTCTCACTTTGGTGGGAAAATTTCCTCGGCAGGGTAATGAATAGGACTTCCTCAGCAGAGGCTATTTGAGTCGCTTGGTCAAAAGGAGAGTTTTGCGAGGTGTAAGGGAAGGGTAACCAGTCACAGCCCGAAAACCCACCCCCGAGGCTTTTGGAGGCACTCTAATAATGTACCGCCTTCTAACGCGGATTGGACAAAAAATGGGTTACTTCTTTACAATAATCGTTGACTGCTTTTTTGATGAATTAGCCAATCTGGATATCTGTGACTTATGAAAATTGTCTTAATCGTGTTCTGTTCTACATCGCATGAAGCAGGCGAGCATATTAACATTATCCCGCTCACCATGCAACATATCCCTGCCTTCATTTGCTGCCGGGGGTACGAAAACTGGCAATTTGTATGCCGTCCTATCCGAGCCTCTGCTTTCTGTAAACGCTACTTTGAAGAAACCCATGTGAACAAAGGAGGATTCTATTTCTTGTCTAAGGCCTGTATTCTTGTGGGATTTGATGAACTCATCTAACAGAGCAATGGGACTCTCCTAGCTTGGTTGTCAATTTATCTTACGGATGCAGTTTTCCGGTATGTTCCGACTTGTCAGACATGCATACCAGTTGCCGAAGCACATTTGGTGTGACTGTTCTCTTCTGATCAGTGAAGTCGAAATATAAGTCTAATAAATTGTCAACTAATTTTACGTTTGTTTGTTTCGCATGACTTACTTATTTATCACAGATTTTATGCGTTGAGGAGGATCCGAACTGGTATCTAGCAGAACAAAATGGTCGAACCGGNACATATCCATGCGACCGCATGATTGGTATGTTCGTCACTGTAGTCGACTAGAGGCTGAAGAACGACTCCTGGAGATCGATCCTGCCACAAACACGCATTTGCAACCGGACGGTGCATTCCTGTTGCGGCGCAGTGAGGCCGATGGTAAAGGCTTCAGCCTGTCCGTAAAGTGAGTTTTTCATATTTGAAGTCGGATCATTTTGAGAGATTGACATTCTCGGGTCTTTTATCGGAGCCACTATGAAATATTCATCATTCTATCCACTCTGTGCAGATTAAGACCGATTTCCGTTCCGGTAAACCGTAGATCTTTCGGAGGCCTAATCACTCTACGTCCTCTTTGACTGTGTGAATCCAAGCCAAAAACTGACCACTCAGGTGGAAGTGTCTTTCAAAGGAGGCATTGTTTTAAAATGGTATCCATGGGTCATTGGAGAACGCTGAAAGTGGAGGAACTTCAGAACAAGTAACTTCGTCTCATCGTCGTCCAAATTCTTCATTGAAAACTTGTTCTTGCCACTGCATATCCAATATGTAGCGCTGGCGTCAATAGTTGGAAACTTCCGATTTCCTAATCTCACTGAAACGTGCTGGTAAGGTTTTACACTCTTATGTTCGAACGAGAAGGGTACCATCTCAAAGGACGCGCAGCCTATTCTCACCACCACTTAGTGATGCATTGCCCATTTCTAGAAAGATTCAGTTCAGTTCAGTTTGTACAACTGTTAAACGTGCACTCTCGTGCGCCAGTTTTCGGTTGCTGTCTTTTGGCTGCCCAGTTGCATGAATAATAGAAGACAGGAAAGTTGAGGGTAGAGTCCAACAGAAAATGGAGAATTTCAGTGATCGAAGTTTGCAAAGAAATTGAGAAGATGCACGAACGCCACTGTTTACGATACCCAGCCATATCACTCAGTGTTAACAACCGTCGGGTGCGATCATCCCGAGGTCCCCAGCTAGGGAGTCTAACGGGACTTATGTGACCCAGACTCCAGGTCAGGGTTTTCATACCCTTGTCTTTCTTCCACCCACTACCTGCCTCGGCGAACATCGCTCGCCGTGGCAACCTATCTGGTGACATGCTTAACAGATGCCCCAACTAACGTAATCTATGGAGGTCGACCACTTGCTACAGTGGGCGACCACGTTTACCTAAATCTCTGCGCCTAACCTCAGCATTGCTCGTTGGGCTGCCTCTCTTTCTAGAAAGATTGTTCGAGCGCTGTTGACCCGTGATGGTCTGGCTGTTCGATTGGTTCACAGAACCAGGTTATTTGAATGTAAGCACCCTCTCTATTGATTCATCATCCTTCTGGATAAAGTGCGTCCAGCGGAATAACATTTTCGAGAAAATTTTAGTTTTCGATGTGTAAATCTTTTTTGATGACGCTAATGACGGTTAATCCGTTAATGCTGTTGAGGACTGGTTGGATAGTTTTCATCTGCTTATTCCAGTTCTGAAATACCCTTTCCGGAATTGAGCTTTACTTCATAATAATCGTGTAGTACAGTTTACACTAACTAGTCGACGTAACCAAAGAGCATCGGCCAACATTGGCGGCCGCGGCGAACTCCGTAGTTTAGAGTGAATTCCATCGCCTCCTCGTCGTAGTCGCGGACTCGCACTTGATTGTATGTGTGGTATACTTTTCGTTGATGATCATGGTATTCCGTGAGCACGTTCGACCGACCAAACCGAATGCTGTGCGAAAATCGATAAATCAGGCTGTCGTTGACTGTTGGAACTCGTAACGCCGCTCCTCAATTCTGTGCAACTGTACTACTTGTTCGTTGTATCCTCTTCCGAAACGAAAACTCCCTTCTTACATACAGGTGCAATTAGCCTTAGCGACCGTGAAGTGGTTCGGGACTGCCACGGCAAACGTCCTGGGAACCGTTTCAGTTTTCAATTAAAACAACCATTAACCAGATATTTTCTCGCGGTGTTTTAATTGCTGTCTTTCGGCTGTCCGTTTGAATTAACGATTAGAGGGAAGATTGTAATGTTGAGTGCAATGTGATTGGTCGCTTTCCCCCTCCTGAAAATTGTATTATCTATTCAATCAGAGGAAGAAAAATGTAACGAAGAAATGGAGAAAATAGGGAACTCGTACGGAATAGATTCGCAGTGGCATTGAGTAGATGCCCAAGCGGCGCTGTTTTTGACACTCAGCTATATCACTCAGGGTCTCGCGTTTACAATGATTCAGCGATCCCCCATTCAGGAAGCCTAACGCGACCAATGTGAGCAGGCTTATTGCTGTGGCTTTTCATACCCTCATGCTATAGGTTTTAGTTTGACCACAATTGCCATTTTCCACTCACTACCTGCCTCATCGAATGTCGCACGCAGTGGTAACCTGTTTGCTGGTATGCGTAACGCATACCCCAACGAGCGTACTATACGGAAGTCAAAATCTCGCGCCAGTGGGCGAATGCGATCACGTCTTCGTCTTATTGGAGCATTGCTTATTCGGTTTCCTCAGAACAGCGATGTTCGAATATTGGGAGTCTGTTTTTATCCCGTTCCGGCAACGGCCACGTCTCAGCACTGATTGAAATGTTGCAGTATACACTCCATCCTTCAGGGGTTGACCTCATTAGTTGAACACTAAATGATATCCCATAGATGTCGCCAACAGGATGCATCTCCTAAGATTTCGGAGCGAGAAGAGAAGCTGCACAAATAAGAAGGAGGGTTTTCCAAATGGCTGCCTAAGACTTTAGGGCACGGCATACTTCGCGGTAGCCCACACCGACAAGGGGGTTTTGCTTTGGGAATCCTAGCCAGAGTCTTTAACTCAACAGTCTGACCCACAATGCGGTGGGGCGTAGATTCAGCGTAACCGAAGCACCCTTGTGGGAGCTTTTGGAGATCTGTCACGCAGGGCCTTCGAGTTTCGGTTCAGTATTCTGTTCGCTGATGCGTTGGTTAACGGACAACGGAATGCCAAGGTGGCCTCAGAGATGTCTCAAGTTGGCAAATGCCAATCTGTATGCTTGCGGACGGCTGTCGTAAGCACCAAACTCCGCTGCGGTTCACATTTCCTTTTATGGCAACCGTCTTAGGATAGCCCCAAAGATTGAGGTGATTCCATTCTTGTTACTATATTTTAACCCAAAATGGAATTGTTTGGAGACAGGTTTTGTGGACTTCTATGAGACTGCCGTGTTCTCCTTGTTTTTTCTCTCTTTTTCGAGTTATAAACCACTGATGATTTTGGTTTGGTTGAATGTATAAGAGCTATCGTTGCAAGGATTCGCATTTTTGGAATATAAAAGCTCGTTGGTTCTGGCGGTTAATTTTAGTAAATCTACGGGCATCCAGTGTTTATTCCGGCTGTAAATCTGTCCTAAGTTTGTCAGAGCAACTCCTGTCAACTTTGATGTACATACAGATATGACAATCAGTTTCAGCCGATTACCTTTGAGGTGCATGGCGGTTATTGTGGTGGAAGTCGGATTCCATGAGCTTGTAGCTCTCTTGATTTAATTATTCACAACGATCGCTATTTTATGATGACCAAAGCTGTCCGTTGAACCGCTGTAATAATGTATCCAGTGAGCCGCTTCCGGGGTTGAATATACGTACTTCCGATAGGCAGACACTGCATCCTGCCGGTAGCTAGTCGAGCTAGAACGTTCCAACATTGTGCCTATCGTTTCTCAGTTGAAGGTTCCCACTTCACTGATTGAACGTCCCGACCGCCGAGGGATCTCAGTACTGGTCACTTTCGGGGGGGCATCGTTTGAACGTGTATTCCTGTCCCATGCACATTCCAGTCTCAAAGGAAATAATGTCAATGACCTCAATCGGTATCGAGTCAGACTCGCAAGCGTCAGAATGAGTTCCGTTAACATCTCTGACATTTTTTGCTGGGACCACTTGCCAGGTAAAACTTGCGCATTATCGGGCATCACTACTGATTGTCCGAGACCGCTTATTCGGGGAGGCATTGCACACCCATGTTCCTTTCCTGTCAATTTGGAGATACATCTGCTACCGTACAGTTCCTCTGGTTGTAGACTGTCACGAGTGTGAATTGTAGTTGACGTAATCTCTTGCAAAATGCTTCACAAGCTGCACAAATCATCATCCATTCGTATGTTAGACTTATCGTGTAACATAAGCTTATTTTGAGCGATTGATCCTTCCGTAAGCCAGTCAAGTTTTGCTTCGCAATGTACTCCGAACCGAAATACGTGCAGTTTGTTAGCTAGCCAGATGCAGTTCGTTAGAAACCATGAACTTGATTGACAGTGTTCCCGGTTTTCAACTCGTCCACATTTGCTGCTTCTTCATTAATCGACCAACTGGGTGGGCAAAAGACAGTAACAAAACTGTATAAGAACAGTACTGAAACGTGACCAGAAGTGAAGGATTTGTGCAACTAAACTTGCCCGATTCCTACCTCGTGAATTTTCCCCCAGCAGCATTGTTTTTTCTCGCTTCCACATTCAGGCTGACTGACGGACTAACTGGTTTACGGACAATATTTTCGTTTGACCGATAGGTGTGCTTTCTCCCCCTCCCACGCTAATAACGTGTTCCACCGATACGATTTCAACGATTGTTCAATAGTAATTTTCAAATAGCGCAGTTTGATGATTAAAATTTAGAAATTCAGCTGTGTTCTATTTTCTGCACACACGCTCAGAACAACTACTATTTTCGTCTTTCATTTTGGTTGGGTCGTTGCTTCACTTCTTCCTCGATCCAGTATCTATTGGATAGATTTCCCCTTCCGATGTTCCAGCTAAGGTTTAAGTAGTCCGTTACTACAAGCATACACACACAATGTCCTGTTGATCCGAGGGTTTCTCTCTCGCCATCTATGGACCCTTACATTAGGGTTAGTAGTACAGAAAGATGCAACTTTCATGTATTTCTGGGGCTGGGACTGGTTGATTTATTGATTGTTGCCTTCCGGGAGCAATACGGCTTATGTCACCCCAAAAGTTTAATTGTCCACATGGATGTTAAACTGTTCTCCCTTGAATTTACGGGAATATAATAAAAACTCGCTCGAAACACGGGCTCTCAGATTAAACTAATTTCCTATCCTTCCGTGGGGCAGTAGACATTCGCTTGTTTTCGGATAAACGGATCGTGCTTCATTGTGTGTGTGTGTATTTGTGTAGCAGCCTGAACCCATTCCAGTTGGCTGTTTGT